TTTGTCCTTCGGCCGTGCCACAGGGCATTCTGTTAATCTGGTTGTTTGTTTGTTTGTTCAGCCTTCGGGGCTGTGCTACAGGGGAGCCTTTTCGGGATGGCTGGATTGCTCCCAGCTTCATACACAACTCCCATCATGAGTGGTCAGGGACTCGCTGGGACCTTTGCCGCCTTCGCCATGATCTGCGCCATAGCAAGTCTGATCAATAACTCACCAATAACTCATTGGATTCAGTTTTATGACACTTTGCAGGAACTTGAATGTCAGTACACAGAGATTATAAAAGGTTGATTTTCTGTCTTTTTCGGGTGCAGGCGGTTCGGAGCTTCAGGATGCAGCGTTTGGGTATTTCATCACAGCCTGTGTGGTTATTTCTTTGTCCATTCTCTCCTACATCCTGCTGCCCAAACTGGTACGTTGTCCTTTTATTCCATCTCCAAGACCTGAGATACAAAATATAGATCATTGCAGTACTAGCCCCTCCCACAGCCGCCAGCTCAGTGCATCCTTAAGAAATCAGATCTCACAAACTCTGGTCCATCCTCAGCTTGCCCCTTTCAAGGCATCATGAGTGAGTGCCAAAAGACTTTTGTTTTGTTTGTGTTTTCAGGAGTTTTTCCACTTTTATCAGGAGAGAAACACAAAGCAGATCTCTCTGGAGCAGAATTCGATCAGCCTGATGAACAGAGGTACAAAACATATTTTTTAAAAACCTTTTGCTTATCATCTCAAACCAGCTTAAGGTCTTCATGAAAAGTTTATGTTTTAATACATATATCTCTCCTTGCTACTTTTTATATTTTCCACACAGGTTATTTACTTGAAACTGAACATTGTTCATTCAGCTGCTAGTTTCAGTCATTATACAAATGTACTGTTTATAAGGTTGGGAAAATCTGCAGTCAGCTGAGACTGAAGAAGTCACCTGAATGAGTGACGAAATGTTGCTCTCACTATGTCCAGATGAACAGATTTAACTTTTTGGGATAAACTGAAATAAGAACATTCATGCTTCCATTCATTCATTATCTCCTACTTTTCCATGACTCGGTTGTGGGGACAGCAGTCTGAGCAGAAAAGCCTCGACCTCCCTCTCCCAGCCACCTCCTGCAGCTTGGAACACAGAGGTTCCTAGGCCAGCTGAGAGGTATAATCTCTCCAGGGTGTCTGGGTCTG